AGAGAGAGAGAGAGAGACTGTGCGAGAGTACCCCAAGACAGCCTTGGGCCTAGATCCACCAGGACAATGTTCTCAACATTCCCCTGGGAGCCTGGGTGGCTCCCACAGCTCCCCAAGCCTGTAGATGGGGCAGAGGGGCTTAGAAGAGTGAGTCAGGAGGACAGAAGGCAGTACTAACGTGCTGTGTTGTGAGGATTACTTTCCAAATTGCAGTGATGTGGATGAGAGCCACGCAGCTAGTGATCAGAAATTCATTTATTTTATGCTCTAGGGGAAGCCGGAATATTTGGGTGCCACAGTGGCCACCCCGGTTGTGACGCTGGGTGATCAGGACTATGAGGCTCCCCGGCTGTGCTATCACCCCATCTTTTGTGGCACCCTCTCTGGAGGGGACCTCCTCGCCGTGTTCGAGCTGCTGCAGGTGAGTGATCGGGAAGGGTGTCTACTACACTACGCGTCCATCCGGCGTGCCCAGCCTGAGAGGCGGCCCTTTGGACAAGCTCTACCTGGTCTCTCCCTGCTGTTCCATGGCTGGAGGTGTCTCCTGGAGACCAGAGAGGGGACGCTGGAGAATGCAGGGGACTGGAGCAGTGCTGGAGCCCTCGCGCTGCACTCCATCGTCCCAGGACAGAACGTGTTTATGGGCCTGCTCAGCACCGCTTGTGCAGCCTCGGAACACGTGCCTGGCTGGGCCCGGGGTGGACCACAGAAGACACAAATGTGCCTGACAGTAAACATCTGTGGGTGACCCATCGCACACCTAGGCTGTCGCGTGCCAGGTTCCCGGAAGGCCACCTGCTCACAATGCAGCCTTTGCTGTGGCTGGGAGCTGAGCTTGGCCTTCGCAGCCTCTTGCTCCTTACTTTGTATCACAGTTTCCCAAAGCCTGAGGGCTCCTAGTCCTTTCTAGGAAGCCCCCGGGGACTTAGGGACCTGTTTCTAGGAAGACCCTTTCTGGAAGCAGAGGCAGGAGGAGAAGTGGAGTCCTTGCGGTCTGAATGTGAACTGGGGAACCAGAGAGGTTGTGGACAGGACAGAGAAAATGTGGTGGGCTGGGACCAGATCGCCCCCCGGACCTTCCACTTCCTGAGACATCAGGACCTTTGGGTCAAACCAGTCCTTCTGTCTTGCTTAATTTGGGTGCTCTTGATGAATTCCACAGCCTGGCTGGCCTGAGCCACAGACACCTATTTCTCACAGTGCTGAAGGCTGGAGGTCCTCGATAGAGGCCCTGGAGATCTGGTGTCTAGTGAGGGCCTTCATCCTCATCTGCGGCAGCTGTATCCTCAAAGGGCTGGGAGATAAGTGATCTTTCTTGGTTCTTTTATTATTAAGACACTCATGTTCTTCACGACAGTTCTGGCCACATGAGCTAATCACATCCCCAAGTCCTCACCTGCAAATATTATCACATTGGGGGCTAAGATTTTTTTTTTTGCATTTTATGTACTTAGTATAGGTATCACTACATAGTTCAGACTCATAGTAATCCTCCTGTTTTCAGCCTCCCCAGCACTGGGGTTACAGGCGTGTGCCACCATGCCCAGACTCGGGCGCCAGCTCAGTGTGCCCCGGGGGTGGGGCTGGTTGCGACATTGGGTATCAAACCCTAGTCCCTGCACTTGCCAAATGGGCATTAAGATTTTAGTATATGCATTTAACATTCAAGGCTTTAAGTCCTCTATAGGCAAGCTTGATTTTAGTGTTTGTGTGCTAGAGAAACTGGAAGGTGAGCATTTCTAACATTCCTAGACCTGGATTCCTGGGTATGGATCTCAGCTCTGCCACTTAATTGTTCTGTGGCACTTCTAGTGGGCTGCTTACTGTACATTTCTGCAAAGTACAACATGGTAATCAGTCTCCCTAACATGCTTGGCATGGAATAAAGAGCCCACAGACACTAAGCATGTTATTATTGTTAATAGTATCATGTCATATACTAAGGTAAGCTATATTAAGGTAAGATGTTTGGTCCCACCTATTTATTTTAGAAATAAACATGGACATAAAAATAGAAAATAAATAAAAATAAAAAAGGATATAGGAGAAAAAATAATCTGGACCTAAAGGCAATGAGTAGCCCAACGTGGCAAGATAATAGAGTAGGTAAGCACACAACCTGCTTATGCTAGACACTGAGCTGGATGGAAAGGCTCCCACTTACTACATGGCAGGTCAGAAGGACTCTGGGCAGACAGGCTTCCCTGTGCGGGCGGGCTGGAGAACAGGAAGATGAAGGAAGAGTCTCGGGGTTGTGTGCACTCAAGCGCCAACGCAAGCTCTGCTGTCACTTGCGGCCTGGCGGTTGCACTGGCCACAGCGGTGAGCTCGTGAGCTCATCCTGCCAAAGGCCGTCGTTATGATTTGTTTCTTGCTCCACCAAGAAAGAACATTTTCAGGACGGAATGGCTGCTTTGGAAAAGGAGCGAGCTCTCTGCCAGGGATACCGAGTCTCAGTGGACTCTTGGGGGAATGGGGCAGGGAGATTCAAGCGCTGGCTGCCTCTGCATGACGGCTGCAGCCTAGGAAGGCAGGAGAGGACTGGAGAAACCCCTTTCTTCAAAATATTAGGTTTTAGGATTCCCAAAAAACAAACCAAGTGGACTGCAATAGAATCAGCTTCAGGCAGGTGGATGTGGACTGCACAGAAAGGTGGATGGTCAGAAATGAAGGCCACTTTGGATGCCAGCAGGCCCATTGTCCAAGCACCTGGGAGCCCAGGTTGTTTTAGACTGCAAAGAGCAATTTTAGGTCAAAACCATACACAACATTAAATTATACTGAATCCATATGTAGGGAGCTCGTCTTTGTTGATCTCGGAGAGGGAAATCTTGTCTGCTGTTTCTTTGTCTGTAGGCTCTCTCGATCGGCAGCTTCTGTCTCTGCAGAAAGCACAGATCTCAAACCAGTGCATCCAGGGATGGTCGGTGGCACCCAGGAAGGATTTCCCCGTGTCTGCTTCTTGGGGCACTGGTCCTTCCAGATATAATGGTCAAAAAGTTCAAGAGTCACCTCATAGTCCAATCACAATGTTTCGTTTTCAGTTAAAGTCACTCGCCATTTAAGTTGTGTCCAGTAAAAAAAAAAAAAAAAATGCCACTGGATCATGTCAAGGTGGCACATGGCTGCTGGTGGTGAGCCGCTTCTAGTCCAGCACAGCGCTTTGCTTGTGAGAAAGTGGAGGCTCAGGGAGCCAGGCCTTTGCTCTTCTTCTCCATACACAGTCGCTCTCCTCAGTGCTCTGGGACCAGATCTGCCATTTGTCAGCGAGGGGCTGGACAAGTTGATCTGTTTAGGCCCGTGCTGGCTCAGCAACCCCAGTCCCATGGTTGGACCCTCCCTGCTGCCTCAGCCCTGAGCTGGCACCCTGGGGAGCCACCTGCTGCTTCCTGACCACCAAAGTGGTGGAGGCAGCTGCGAGGTAAGGAGCTCAAGAGCTACACCCCGCAAGACCTTCCTGGGCTTCTTCTCTGCTGATCACCAGCGTGTCTAATTCACCACACAGAGCTCCCACGTGCTGAGAAGACGGGGACTGGAAAAGCCCTATTGTTTCACCGGCCTCTCTGTTTTCACCAGTGGTGGATGACTTTGGCTTCCCTGTCTCCGTCAGCCCCATGCTTCCCTGTTTCAGGAGGATTTAAGAGCCTAATCCCATCCCTCCACATGCCAGATCCAAATCATTATTTCCACTTCCCTCCTCTACCCAAGACAGCTGCTCTCTGTCCTCTCAGTCCTAGTCCAAGGCGTGTGGTTGGCACCAACACCCTGGCTTAAAATTCAACTGGCTCCCTGGGTCTACATCTGTTTTGGTTACTTTTCTCTTGTTGCTGTAACAAAGTGCCTGACACCCAGAATTGAGGAAGGAAAGGTTTATTTAGCTCACAGTTTTGGGAGGCTTCAGTCCATACTCAGCTGGCTCCAAGGCAGAGTGGCACAGGGCAGAAGGAAACAGTTCATGGTGGCAGAAAACAACAAAAGTAGCAAGAATAAAAGGGGAGGAGCAGCAGCTGCTGCAGCTAGCAAGATTCTGTCCCTTTCTTGTGTTGTATTCGGGCTGTCCACCCCAGGACAGGTGCAGCACTCACACCCGTAACCCTAGCACTGGATCAGGAATTAATCACAGACTTTAGACGCTGCCCCAATGACTGCATGAGGCTCTCGGGGGACAACTAGACACAAACCGTAACAACATCCATGACCAGAGTGGCCCTGCAAGTTCCTATCCTCTGTGGTTCCCTGGCTCCCTGCACTCCCATGTGGATGTCACCCTGGGCTCCTTGCCAGCTCACTGTGGCTTCCTGTCCACCCCACCTCTCGTCTCCAAAGCACATCCTTCTCACCACTCTCCACTCTAAAAACAGCGGAGAACTGCTTGTTTCTTACCTACAGGAGCATTTCCCAAAGCCTGATTTTGAAATGCTATCCTTTTTTTCCCAAGTAGAGTAGAAGTAAAATTCAAAATAAGCTTCCTATTACATCTCACCTGGGGATCTGAAATGCCCAGGACAGTGGTAAAGGTTCTGAGAAGTACTACAGTAAAAGATGCTTTTTTTTTTTTTTTCAAAACACAGTGTTTCCCAAATGTGTATGACTACAAAACTTATATATCTATAACTGTTATTATTCCACAAAGAGAAAATGTAGCTTACAAGAAGAGGCTAAATTTCTGCAGCCTGGCTTTTAAGCTGTCCTTGTTGCCCAGCCGGCTCCCCTGCCTTATGTACCTCTCTGTAAAAAATGGCCATCGCCAACTTTCAGAGCCAGAGGCCCTTGTCCCAGGGAGGTTCCTCACTCTCCCCTAGTCATAGTCAGTGCTGTCTTCCCTTCCATCCTGTACTCTGCCTCTTTTTATTGAATCCAAGTCAGTCCTTGGCACGGCACGTGTCTGGACGTTTCCCCAAAGCCTCTTGCAGTGCTAGGTGGATCTTTCCAGAGGCAGCGGGATCTAGCGGGTGATGCAGGGATTGAGGACAAGGATGGGGTTCTGGGATTGATTCATGGTTCTATGCTAGGCTTCAGGGTGCCCTACCCTGGGCGTAGATGAGAGACAGGGAAGGCGGCTGGGTGCTCGATGCTTTGCTGCTGCGCTTCTCGCTGCCTCTGGCTTTCTGCCCGCTATGAGCTGCTTCTCTCCGTCATGCACGCTCCTCCTCCCCTACTTGGAGCCAGCTAACTGTGAACTGAAATCTCTACAGACTGTGAGCTACACTGAAACTTTACTTTAGGTGTGAGGCATTTTGTCTCAGCAATAAGAAGAGTAACCAAGAGCTGCAGAGATAGACCGGCAGTCTAAGTGCCTGCCTGGCAAGTGCAAGGACCCAGGTTCTATCCCCAGCACATTACCTGCCATGCCAGCTCCTGGGGCACATGGAGCGGACCGCTGAAACCAGGTGTGGCGGCGCACGCCTGTAACCCCAGCCC